GAGGTATTGTGTAAGCATTCATTTGCAGTTTTGTAGGAATGAGACAAGAAGCTTGAGAGGGTGAATACTGAGTGCTGTGCCTTCTTTGTTAAAGAAATAGAAATGCAGCATGAGATTTTTAAAGTAAAAATTTACATCTTTTATAAAAAATTCTGTTAGTGTGAAGTTTTTCGAAGACATGTGAAGTATAAAATAGGATTCAGTTCCCTATAAGGTAGGGGTAAACTGTTCATTTGGAGTGGGTTGATTTGTGGAATATTGTAATTAGGCTAAATTGAATGGGTGATGGGCAGTTTGAGAAGTGATTTCCAATGCTTTGTTCCAGATAATTCAAGATCTGATATTGGTGTAACAGCTTACAACTCTTTTTTTTTTAATTGAAGTATACTTGATTTATAGTATTGTGTTAATTTCTGGTATATAGCTTAGTGATTCATGTATACATACTATGTCTTCCTTTTTCTATTCTTTTTCATTATAGGTCATTACAAGGTGTTGAATATAGTTCCCTGTGCTATATGTAGGACCTTGTTGTTTATCACAACTCACATCTCTTGACTAGCTGAGACTCTGCTTTTTAAATATTCTTTGCCAGTCTGGCTGTAACTTTTCCACCTTCAGAATTAAAATAGAAAACAATAAAAAATAACAATATTGAGGAAATAAATCACTAGCTCTATTTAAAGATGCTAGTTTTTCCAATATCAGTATTCACATGGTTACCATTCATGAACAATCATTATCAGATTTATTGCTGAGTAAACAGTGTGTAGTCCCTAAAATTCATGTGCATCTTTTGTTTTAGGTTACTTCCTTACCTGCTTGCATCCTAATCGTTCTTTTTAAATCTTTAGTGTATTACTAGAAACCATAAAGTTAGATAAGTTGCCTAGCAAACCTGTGTCTAGTTCTTTAGATTTGGGATGGGATCTGTTGACTCTGTTGACTCTTCTTCAAAATAGACCCTAAATTGTGATCCTGGTCCTTCTCTTAAGTATATGCCTTGTTTTGGTGAGATGTGTGACTTTTGGGGTGGTCTCCCTCACATTCAGTCAGTTGATCTTTTTATTTTAGGTAAGGTAAGACAAACTTCTCTGAAGGGAGAGTCCCCTCCCCACCATATGTTCTAAAGTGCCCTTCAAGTTAACAATTTTGTTCATTTCAAAAGTTGTCCAAAGTGGAAACTGAAAGTCTTAAGTTGTTCTTAGTGAAAATATGCAATTTAGAAAGATAATTACCTGAATTAGAATAAGCAGCTGCTTGAGAGTGGGTTGACTGATGAAAAAAATCAGTTTTATGAAAATGTGGCTTCAGTACCTTATGTCTCAGAACTGCAACCAAATGATTGGCTACTTTCAAGTAGAAGCTTGACAAATGTCTGGCTGATTGGAAGTTTGGAGAAATCTCTACCAGGTCAGACTCATAAGTAAAACAACCCAAGACTGAGGAAAGTTATGGTGAGATTTTCATGAGTTGTGTAAAGTTTGTTGAAAGGATGCTCAGCCTCTGAGAATTGTTCAGGGAATTGACCTGTTGGGGCCTGTGCCATTCTGTTCCTCTGAACATGGTCTCAGAGGCTTAAATGACAGAAACATCCCACAGCTCAAGACAAATAGGCTGTCGTGAGTAATAAGACTGGTTTCCATCAAGGATAAAAGTGTTCAAATCTGATCAAATAATGATATTATTTAATTTAGAGAGAAGAAGTTAGATTTAAAGTAGTTATTAGATAAATATAATGGAAAAACAGATAAAAGGATATTCAGATAGAACTGTTTCTATTTTGAATAAAGAAGGCAGTATTGTTAAGTATTAACCTAAAATTTTTTAGATATGTAAGAATGTTTATTTGGGAGCCTTTTCTTCAAAGGGTTATTGATATTTTAAAGTCTTAAGATTTTCTAAGCAGCAGGGTGAAGTATTGTGCCTTAAAGTTTTTATGAATGCCTGGCTTGTCTATCTGATTGCTTTTAAAATCAATTTCTGTGTTAGCTATTAACACTTTTAGTATCTGCGTGATAACACATTTGTAAACCTAACTTGAGCCTATGTAGAACAGGCATTCGCAAGACTTTCTGCAAAACCTTTTCTGCTATTAAGAGAAAATCATATATGCAGATACTAACTAATATATATATATAAATAGATAAGCAACAAGTCCTACTGTATATATAGCATAGGGAACTATATTCAATACCTTGTAATAGCTTATAATGAAAAAGAATATGAAAAGGAATATACATACTTGTATATAACCACTGTGCTATACACAAGAAACTAATACAACATTGTAAACTGACTATACTTAAATTAAGAAACAGAGGTGAATTGTATCATATATGAATTGTATCTCAATAAAACTGCTTTTTAAATAAGAGAAAAGAGAAAATCATAAGGAATCCCTTCTTGGTAAAATTTATATTTACATTGAAACTATTCTTAAACTTACTAATGCAAAATAGCCAGACATATTTAATTAACCTTTATGCAGTCTATAGAAATAAATTGAAATACATTGTTAGGAGATTCAGATTTTCAGATTACTGTGTTACAGATTATTAGTACAGTGTCCTGGAGTTATTTAAGAATAACTTAAGAGAAGTGATTTTTCATCTATTTTATTTTTTTTAAATTAACTTCTAAAATAATTGAGGTGTAATTTATATACAGGAAAGTGTAGATAAACTTTTCTAGGTTGATGAACTTTTACAAAGTGAACACAACTTTGCGACCGTAACCTAGATCAAGATATCAGCTCCTCTGAAGCCTCCCTGTGTCCTGTCCCAGTCAAATAACCCGTTCACCCCAGCGTTAACTACTGTTCTGACTTTGTGGTCAGAGATTAGTTTGGCTTGTTTTTTAATTTAATAGAAACAGAATTTATATACATGCTCCCCCCCATACCCCTAGTGCTTTCATACAGCATTCTGTTTGTGAGATGTATCCTATTTTGTGTGTGGCATTAGTTTTCTCATTTTCATTGAGGTTTAGGATACTATCATAAGAATATACTGCAGTTTCTCTGTTCTACTGCTCATGGACATTTGGGTTATGTGCACTTTGGGGCTCTTTAAATAACGCTGCTATGGTAAATCTTATACATAACGTTCCCTCCACATGCGTACACATTTCTTTCTATCGATTGTGTACCCAGGAGTGGTATTATTTAGTCGTTGGGTAAGTGTATTTTCACCTTATACTAAATAGATACTTTCAGTTTTCCATACTGGTTGTATCAATTTACATTTCTACCTGCAGTTACGAGAATGCCATTTGCTGCATATGTTCTATTACACTTGGTATTCTCTTTTTTTGATGAAAAACTAATCATTTTGATGGGTAATAGAATCTTACTGTTTTGTTCATCTGTATTTTCCTGAGGATTAGTGATGTTGAACACCTTTCCAACATGTCTATTCGTTTTTGAAATTATCTTTTGTGAAGTTTTATTTGGTCTTTAGCGTATCTTAAAAATTGAGTTGTCTTTTTCTTGGTGATTTAATGTTGTTTTTTTAAAAAATATTTTATATATGAGTCTTTTGGACATGTGCATTGTGAATATCTTCTCCTACTTTGTAGCTGGCATTTTCATTTCAAGAACACAATTTTTAATGAAGTCCAGTTTGCTATGTTTATCTTTGTCTTGTTTGAGAAACTGTTGCCTACCTCTAAGTCATGATGGTATTTTCCTGTCATCTCACAGCTTTATTGTTTTAAACTTTATTGTTTGGGTCTCTTAACATACTTTTTTTCTTCCCTCCTTTTCCATGGCCTGTGGATGGCTGTGATTCATTTGATTTTGATTTTAATAGTAGTAGAGATAGAAAATCTATCGGTATGACTTACCCATAAAAAATGTTTTTATTTTATTTTTATATATGGTATTGTAACTTCTGCATGGCAACGTCTTCTGCTAGTTAAAATAGATGATTTTTTTTTATTCTGTTGATTCTTTTAAAGGAATTTAAAAACTTTTTTTTCTGACTCTATAAAAAGTGGCAATCAGTTTTACTATATATACTATGTCATATTCTGTCTTGTTTTGTTTTTGGGGAGTCATAGTATGATGTCTTAAAGACATTGGGTTGTGCAGTCAATGGCAGCTATATATAAGCAGATGAATGAATCTCTATAAGGCTTGGTTTTGTAATTTACAGAATGGAGAGTAAATAAGGTGATTTTTAAAAGTGTATGTAAGTTTTTTCAAATCTTGAGCAATGTGCCTGGCAAACCATAAGAGCTCTGTAGTATTTAATGCTTTATTCTTGAATTTTTGAACTTTGTTTTGAAGGTTATTTTGACTTGAAACTTGACTAAAAGGATGTGTACTCCGTTTATTACAAAATTATTTACAGTAAATTTTCTAAGTAGTAAAATTAATTTGTTTATGCATTTCTTTTTATTATAGGTAAAATATTTTAATTTTAATTAATTTTTAATTCTAGTATCAACAGGGTGGATTTTAAAGTGTTTCCTTATGTTAATTTTTAATAAAATAGAGTAACTATTTTGTAAACTATCTTTCTATTTCATTGTCTCTACTTTAACTCTGTAGATGCTACAGTTACGTTGTCTAACTGCTACTTAAAAGATGGTAACCAGATACCAGAATGTAGAGTATGACAATGTATGTTGATGGTTAGGAATAATTTAACATATGAATGCTTTTCTAAGACCCTGTAAGCATGCTATTGTCTTGGTCTGTAATTTTGAGATCTGATTTTGTTACAGAGTTCACTCTTTTTGTAGTCTAGTAAACTGCCAATATCTTGATAATTCATTAGCTTTTCCATATGTGGCATATAAAATTTCAATAATTTGTAGGATTAGGAAAGATTTTGTTAATCATTTGCCAAAGTTCAGAACATACTTTGGATTTTAAAGTAGTGTGAAAAAAACAAATTGTCATTTACTGAGATTCTTGGATAGATTTTACATATCAGGGGTAACTTCTGAAGTTGAAAAATTATTCCTTATGTATTTATTTTTTTATTATTTAGGGAGTCTCAACCATCAGTGGGATTTTTAGAAGGATATCTAAGTATTTGGTAAGTACATATTCTCCGTGCTAAACCCCTTGCATGTTACTTAAGTTTATATGTATGTTATATTAATGATATTTACAATAATAGCCAGTGTAAATTACAATTATTTATATTTCTTTTAAGTTTTACCTAGTCTGGAATTTTCTTCTCTTCATACTTATTCTGATCTTCTTCTGGTTCTTTCTACATATTATGTCAAGAAAATTCTTCTAGTGTGCAGCCAAAGTATTAAAAGTGTTCAGAGAAAGAAATAGTCTTGGGGGACAGAAATGCTAATACTTTGTGGATGAAACAGGATTTTCCCTACAGGAGAGTTTTGTTTTTGAACAGTTTTGACTAGCTGTCGATACTAATACACATACTTTTTTTGCTTTAATCCTTATGTGAGGTCCCGTTTGTCACAATAAGCCCATGTAAAGACTGATCAGACTCTGTGCTGTTTCTGAGCTACTCCGCTTTCTTTGTAATAACATTATAATATGAAAATTTGATACATGCCTGTAGTTAAGAATTTCATAAACTTTTGATTTCACTTAGGTAGTACTTTTACTGTTTTATTTTTGAGTGAAAGTAGGAGAGTTAATCTCAGAATGTGTTTTTCTTCACTATATAATATTTTAGACTTGTGTACTGGGGTGATTCATAGGTATAACAAGGTTTCAGTTAATAATAATAAATTTAAAAATTATTAAATATACCTCAACAATGAGGGGAAAGTACTGATGCATTGACTGTTAACCAAGTTGCATTAATGTAGTTTTTTGATTAATATAGTCAATAAAATATCTTTAAGGATGAATACATTTATTTGATTACCTAAAGGAAATCTCCTAGATACAATAAATGTTAATAAGTCTTGATGTCTTTTATTATGCTTTTTAATGTGTTTGAAGCAATAAATATTCAACCAAATGATAATTCTAAAATTCTGTAATAATCATAGATGATGTAGGTATTCAACAATTATATTACACTGTTTACTATATACTTATAATAAAATGTAACGTTTTTAGGAGCAAATGATGTTACAGAAATCTCTTAAACAAGTTTTTACTACTTTAAAATGCAGTGACTGATTCCTGGAGATACATTAAGTAGAAAGAGTAACTTACTGCCATATTTTTCCCTCATTGATACAGATACTTGAGTTAGTATGAGGGAAGCAGTCATCTTTGCATTACATATGTTTGTGACATATATTTTATTTTTGCAAATATACTCATTTTTAATGACTCCTTTGAGATATATAGCTCACATACCAGAAGATTCATCCCTAAGTGTACATTTAAGTGGTTTTTATTATATTCAGAGTTGTACAGTCATCACTACTATCTGGTTTCAGGCACTCCTTCCCCCAACACTTCTCCCCACCCTCAACCCCACCAGCATCCTAGGTAACCACTAATATACTTTTCCTAAGAATTGCCTCTTCTGGACATTTCTTACAAATGTAATCATACAATATTTGGTTTTTTTTTTGCATCCGGCTTCCTTCACTTAGCATAATATTTTCGAGATTTACTCACATAGTAGCATGATGTATCATTCAATATTATGGCCAAAAAATCTTCCATTGTATACCACATTTTGTTTATTCATTCATCAGTTGATGGATTGTATCTATGTTTTGGCTATTAGGAATGTTTCTGCAATGAACATTCTTGCAGATGGTTTTATGTGTACTTATATGTTCATTTCCTTTGAGTGTATATTTATAGGGGGTAAATTTATAAGGGGCGGTTAGTATAGTAACTGTGTTTAGCTCAAGAAACTATCAAAATGTGTGCACTATGTTATAATCTCACCATAGTATATGAGGGTTCCAATTCTCCCCTCTCTCACAGACATTGATTGTTATTATTGGTGGTTTTTTTTTGTATTTTAGCCATCCTGATAGATGTGAAGTGGTATTTCATTGTGGCTTTGGTTTTCATTTCCATAATGACTAATGATGAGCATTATTTCATATGCTTATTTACCATTTACATATGTTTTTTGGAGAAATGTCTGTTCGGATCTTTTGCCCATTTTTAAATTAGGTTGTCTTTTTATTGTTAAATTGTAAGCATTCTTTATGTGTTCTGGAAACTAGCCCTTTATGAGATAATACGATTTGCAAATACTTTCTCCCATTCTGTGCATTGTCTTTTCACTTTCTGGTGTCCTTTGAGGCACAAAAGTTTTAAATTTTGATGAAGTCTAATTTATCTCTTTTTTGTTGCTTGTACTTTTGGTGTCATTGCAGATTTATTTTAAAATACATATTCATTGATAGTCTAGGTTTGTGACAAGGTTTTAATGATCACAGGACTATAAAGCATTGACATTTCCTGTGTTTGACAGCCAAACCCCAAAGGAAGCAATTATCCTTGTATTTGTGCTTCAGTTCCTCAGCTAATTGTTTTAAGCAAAACATTATGTTTTGATCCCATGTGTTGCCATGAAAACATCAGCTGTGTGTGATATGTTTATTGACATTAGTCTTACAAATTCATGCTTAATTTTTTGGACTGGAGAAGAACTTAATACTTTAGTTATCATGGCATTCATTGCATATTTGATTTCATACCTTAATAAGCCATTGCATTTTAGGCCAAGAATATTATCAGAGTTCTTTTTTATTTTTCTTATGAAGAGAAAATAGATTTGATTAATCTTACTGATTTTAATCTTGTACAGGTTATTTGTAGGCAGTGACCTGTTGATGTTTTTGTAAACCTGCATATGAAATATGTCTATTTTTCTTTTACTTTATTAGGTAAGTGTCTTTTTAGTTTTTATGGGACCATTTTAGTTTCTTATTTTTTACATTATGTGGCTTTTTATCAATTGAAGGCATGTTACAGAATGTATTGGCCTATAATGCCTAATTTAGTTTTTTAGAGAAATGGCATGTAGCAATGGGATGTTACTACTTTTAGTAGCATCGGCTTTCTGTGTAAGGGGTAAGGGGTTGTAATACAGTGTAATAAATACATTTTTATTGGAGAAGTTTACTTTTGTATCTTTCATGTTATCTAACAGTATTCTGTATAAATTTCAAGTAACCAAAAATCTATTTTAATGAAATTTTATAGAGTCAAGATCATTGATATTTTTCTCACTGATTTTAAATCCAGTGTCCATTGGTTAACAGTCACTTAAGTGCCCATTGGATGAGTGAAATTGTTCTTCACATTGACGTTTTTATAGTTTGTCTTATATTATCCGTGGACATTTTGCAATGGAAAAGAAGATAAAAACTGACATCTCATTCATGGTGGTGTTAAATTTTCAATTGTGATAAAAAAAAATTAAGGAAAAGATTTAGCTGAGTTACCTCCTCCTATGGTTGTATGTCAAATGTGGTAATTAAGAGGATTTTGATGACCTGTTTATGGCTGAATTAAGGCAAAATGGCTTTTGTGCACTCTTCTGTCTCCTTTCCCTTCTCTTGTTCTGTGTGCCTCCTAACACAATCATTGAATATATATTAGTTCTCTTTGAGTATTTGTATTTGAAATGGGAGTTTAAGATTAGGAGAGACCTCTTTTTCTTACAAGGGTAAAGAAGGATTACCCTTTAGTTAAAGCAGTTTGTCCTTAAAGACAGTAGCGGTCGGCTTATTCTCTAGGTGGCAGCTTCTCAGCACGTGGACTAGAGTTTGCCACTCCGCTGATCTGTCTTGCACCTTGGAGATATTGGTCGGGGTGGTAGGGATAGAACAGTGAAACTGTTCTTCATTGAAGAGTCTTTCACATTACTTTCTAATCTTACTTGGGAAAGCTCAGCTGGACTTGAATTATTCGGAATGTCACCCTATTTTTTGCACAAGTGTCTGAAAGCTATTGCACAGTAGTATTGATTCTTGTTTCTCCCAGTACAGTTACTGCAGTAACCACCTCATGCAGAGAAGTTTTCCTAAAGGCTTTTCCTTCCCTTTTTAAGTGAAAAACTTAATCCAGATTAACTCACATTCATTCTGGTAGCCATCTCCATTTTATTCTTATTATCCAAGATTTCCATTCTCCTGATCTTTCTTCAGAGATTTCCCAGTCTATTCATCTAAAGAACTACAACTGTGTATTTCTTCTGTTTTATTCCCTGCTTGTGGACTGCCTAGTGTTGCTAGAGTTATATCAATTTTCTGTCTCAAGAGGTTCCTAGTATGAATTCACATTTTCCCTCCTAGTTTAGCTTCAGTGTTTCTTGGTCTTTATCTCGTTTTGATCTTCTATTTCATTCCACATTGCTAATTATTTGGAACCTTTCCACTCTCCTCCATGACCAGTCCTGTCCCTATTTCTCTTATTCTTTTTTCATTTCATATTTAAACTTTCTTTCTTCAGTCTAACTTTACTCAAAGAATATAGTATTTTTATTTCTTTTGAAAGCTAACATCTGTATCCTTAATCTCAGTCCCCCTTTCCTTCTCTGGAACCTTGTTGTTTTCACTTATTCTCCCTTTTATGCTCCATGCTGGGTTCTCTGTCTTATCACACTTCATCTGGAAAAATACCTTCTGCTCTTTCCCTGTCCTCCTATTAAACAGCGAGCTTGTTTGCTTTATAGTCGACTCTAGGTGTCCAGTTTCTCAACTCTTACTCAGCTACCTTCTGCAGTTAATACTGGTGTTCTGCTTCCTCAAATGAAAGTAAACCACTTTTTCTCATCTACCCAGGTAGATAAGGCATTGGTTAGGCTGATGATAGAATGAATGCTCTGTATCATCTCTAAGATAAGACTGAGTTCCAGTTGCTAATCTGTGTCTTTTCTTTTCTCCTCCTGTCCTACCTTTTTCAGCATTTGGTGTTTTGCTTCTCTTTAACATTCACTTCTCCCATGTTTTCTGTGGTAGTCTACTTCAATGGTTTGTCTACTACTTCTCCAACTAAATGTTCTCTTTGTTCTTGCTTTTTTTCCTTTATATACCCCTTATGTATTAATGGGGTTGAAGCTTTGCTCCTCCTCATTATGTATCATTTCTAGGAGGTGGTCTCTGCTTTCATTATGTAAATTACCAC